CCAATGCAGAGCTCCCCTCTCTGCTTTAACTCCCCCTTACAGAGCAGGTCCCTCAGACTGCTGATGCTACTGTGTCCCTGAGAAAAGGTGGCATTGTGTCTATGGCCAGTATAACATGATCAGAGTTAGGACCATATCTTCTGGTGCAAGGTTACCTTGGGAAGAGGAGCTTTCCTTAAAGACATTTCTGGGGGGGAGGGTAGGATCTTCTGTAAGAGAGCTATGTGTTGAAGTTCTAGTGTTCTCCCCCCACCTCTGCCACCCCTCACTCCATCCCCATATACACAGGTAGGGATGAGGCTCGGGGGACGGAGGGCAGCAGAGAGCAGTACTCTGCAGGTGCCAGAGCAGCTGGCCTGGGGGGAGCAGAGAGGCTGGGACCCAGAGTGGTTGGCAGGAGCTCCATTTTCCTCCCTGTTGCTTGGGGCCAGGGCACCTGTTACAGTGCAAAGGGCTACTTCTTCCAGTTGCAGCAGGAATAGAAGCCTGGCGGGGGGGGGGGGTGGTGGTGCTGTAGTCAGGCTCTCTGAGACCTTCCACACCTCAGACTCCAGGGCTGGGAACTTTCCGTAGTAGACTCCTGCTGCTACTAATGATTGTGTATGTTCTCTCTGTGTCTGCATGTGCCTGGGCAGGCTCACTCAAAAGGTCTAGGAGAGGCCCCAGCTGCACTGAGTGTGGCCTGCACAGATGCCACCGGGGCCACACCATGTTTTATGGCTTCCCTCTTGGATGGGTAAGGACCATTTGTAGAGAAAAGCCCTTGGATCATTCATTAATTCAACAAACATTTATTAGGGATAAATTAGGGGGCAGGGAACAAAAATCCCTGAGCCCCAGGTCAGCCCAGGGGAGAGTTGGATGGATTCCTGGGCCTGGGGGTTAGATACCTCAGGATACCTAGATGTCAATGTCCCCACCCCCAAATTCATATGTTAAAATCTGCACCCCCAAGGTAATGACGGTCAGAGGTGGAACCTTTAAGAGATAATTAAATCCTGGGCTGGAGTCCTCATGAATGAAACTAATACCCTTATAAAAGAGGCCATAGAGAGCCTCCTGGCCCTTTCTGCCACATGAAGTTACCACGAGAAGGTGCCGTCTCTCTGGAAGATGTCCTCACCAGACACTGAATCTGCAACACTTTCATGTCAGACTTCCAGCCTCCAGAAAAGCGAGAAATGTCTGTTATTCATAAGCCAGCCAGTCTACAGTATTTTGTTGTAGCGGCCCTCATGCACTAAGGCACCAGAGAAATCACTGCATGCCTTGGGGAAGGGGGAGCTCCTCCTCTAGCTACTCTGACTATGGGGCTGGCCATCCTGGCAAAGCGTCTCCCCTTCCAGCACCCTCACTATTTCCCTGCTCCCTTTTAGAGGAAATCACTTCCTGGGCCTTTGGGGTAGGCTGGGCATGCTCCCAACACATTCTGTGTTTGCTTCCAACCTAAGAAAAAGCCAAGTGAGCTGGCTGGGAACTTGGTCCTCTCTCCTTTCTTCTCTTTCTACCTCCCCCTGTCACTCTCCCCTACTCGCCACCTGCTCCAACCCCAAGAGCTTCTGAAGTGACAACATGTGGGCCCAAAGCAAAGCCTTGTCCTTAGCCTGCATCCCCCCAGGATCACAAACCTCCTCCACCAGCTCCCCAGCCTTACCCCACCCCCACCATTCCTCTTTGTGGACAACTTTCTAAATACAGCCGCACTTCCCCTTTCAGTCCATAGGGCCTATAAAACAGCTGCAGAAAGTCAGCAGCTCTGCAAAAGCTCTTGCCAAGTTTAGCTGAGACCAACCTCCCACTAGCTCTAGCCATTGCTTCCCCATCCCAGGCTCTGGAAGACCAGGCTCCTCCTCCAATTAAGAGTGGAGAGACACAGTCTCCCAAACAAACATCCTAATCTAAAGGGAAGTTGCAAGGGGCCCAGCCAGTGCAGCAAGTGGGAGGAGGCCACCCAGAGACTAACCTGGTTTCTGCCTGACCCTACAACCAGGCAGTTCTCTCTCTCCACACAGTCCTCTAATTTGGAGCATGAGGGGATAGCTTGAGTGGCTTTCCTATCCCCTTCCAAGTGTAAAATTTCACAAATCAGTCATTTCTACTTGGAGTGCTTCTTCCCAGCAACTGGAGAGAGAAGGGGCTATGGCCAAGGATGCACTACTACCTGGGGATTGTCCTGACATGAGCCCAGGTCTCCTGACCTGCCTTCAGTGTTCTCTCTGTGACACTCTAACCTCAGTAAAATAGTAGCTCTCAATCCTGGCCACACAGGATCATCAGAATCACCTGGAGAGATTTTACTCTCCCCAACCCTCCAGCCACACTCCAGAGCAATAAAAGCAGAGTCTGAGGTTGGGACCTGAGAGTCAGTCTGTTCAGAAAATTACCCAGGTGATTCTTACTGCACTGTCTGGGTTGAGACCCATTGTGGAAAAGGCTTCTAGAAACTGAAGATGAATCTCTAAGCCAGAGGGGATGCATTCTGTCCCACTACTCTGCTGAGAAGATCTTGAGGTTGGTAGGAGGAGATCTCTGATGAACCAGCATATCTGTCAGGGGTGGGTGGGGAGTGGCTGTGGCCGGTACCAGGCACCTGTTATCCAGCTGTGGGGGCTCAGGGTTGTGAGGATGCAGTGCAGGGCCAGCCTCCAGGTGCTGGTTCCCTGGACAGTGGCTCCCCACCAGGGCCCAGAGGTTCCCGCATGGTCTTCAGATGGCCCCAGGGCTGCTGTCCAAATTTCAGCCTGAGATGGGCGGCCCCAGGTCAGCCCTAGATCTCCCAGAGCTTTGTGCAGTTTGAGAAAAGGAAAATAGAGAAGGGAAACCAAAGCAGAGCAGAATGCAGTGAAGGAGAAAAGGACAAGAGAAAGGGGAAGGGCCCCTGAGGTCAGTGAGTCATGCAAATGGCATTTAGAGAACAAAGCCCCCTCCACTGTGCCCGCCTTGCTCCCACCATCCATCATCTCCTGGGTCTAGAGAGAGGCACAGAGGGTACACTGCTGCCCACGGAAGCCAGGACAGAAAGTCCAAATCCAGAAATTTGCCCACTGTGAGTCTGTGAGCCCTGTGCATCCTCTCCCGAGAAGCCCCAGATCCTCCTTTCTGACCAAAGCCAAGGTCTCCTGTTAGACATCGAAGCAAAATCACTTGGTCATTCCTAGACCAAAGGAAATGTTAAATCTGACTCCCAAGACATTTGGCACCCCATCGAGGTGATCTGATCCGGATGATACTGCTGACAAGCTGTGTGACCTTGAAAAAGCTACTTCCCTCCATACCCTGAACCTCAGGACCTGACCTTGCCTGCCTTTCTGTGCAATCATATTTGGATGGAAGGGTTGCCAGCATGGCCCAGGGCCCCAGAGCCTGAGCTCTGGAGACAGAGGCCTGGGCCTGCCTCGGTCACTTGCTAGCACTGTGAGTGTTGGCAGCGACAGCTCTGCACCCCTATTTCCCCACTGGAAGGCAAAAGTTAGTAGACTGATGACAGGAAGAGAGAAGACAACACACATCCACACAAGATGGGACTCATATCTACAACCCACAGGGCCTACCCTTTCTAAATCCAAAGAAGATGGCAACTCCAATAGCAAAGAATGTGTACGGGCAATTAACAGAGCTGTAAGGATGTTTGCAAACAGGAGGGTACTCTGTTAATGCATCCAAGAGTTTTCCATCAGAAGGGGAGAGGAGTGAGGAATGGGATGCACAGGATGGTGGTTCTTAACCTGGGGCGACTTTGCTCCCTCCCCCCTACGAGACATTTGGCAATGTCTGGAGACATTTTTGATTGTCACAGTGAGGGTGGAGAGGTGCTACTGCCATGGAGTGGGGAGAGACCAAGGATGCTGCAAAACACCCTCCAATGTACAGGGCAGCCCCAAGAAAAAGAATGACCTGGCCTGAAATGTCAACAGTGCTAAGAGTGAGAAACCAGAGAGGACCAGAGAGATGAACAGATGAAGGGGCCTGGCAAGGAGCAATGATGAACATGTGCCATGAACTGAGGCATAGGATTAATTTAAATAGAATATAGTCACAGTAATAATGGGTGGTTCTTCAGCGGCACAAGGTAGAAAGCTCAGCTCATGTGTTTGCTGCTTCTGTTGCCACCTTTTCATTGAGATCTGAACTGCTCTGGCAGCAAAATGGGCCTCAGGCCCGAGGGACTCCCATCTCACCCAGAGATGGGAGAACCGTCACAGTGAGCAGCCCAGCTCATACCCCTGTGCTGGCAGCCAGATGGAGAGAAGGGGTGAAAGGTGGTTTGTTCAAAAAAAACAAAAAAGGGTGGGTGGGAGTCACTGGGTTGGGAGAGAAGAGGAAGAGAAAAGAGACGCTTTAAGTTTCAATGTTTCACAACGTCATAAAAATACCCAGAAAGCCTGGGAGGCTGGGGAGAAGTGCAAATTAAGCAATGGCTGAGGTTCTCTTTTCAAATTCATGGAATATCCTCTTTTCACACCCCCTGAGCCAGAGAGGCCAGACTCTCCACCACCAGCACAATGGCCTAGAAAGGGACATTTGTTCTGTAGCCACCAGGGCTCTCACCATCTCTCCCCCTTGCTGCTTCCTCCTTCTCCTTCCACTCACTGGCCAATTTTCCATCCCCCTCCTCTCCAGGACACAGATTATATTTACTTACTCCCACTCTGGTCCCATTTGAGCCCTGAAGCGATTGACAAGATACATACAAAATAAGGATTATAATCCCATCTGTTAGGAATCAGCATCTGGAAAGTAATCATCTCCCTCCTTTAAATAACAGGCCAAGAAAGCCTCTAAGATTCTTAAAGCTGAGCACCAAATTTGGCCCCGAGCTTCCTGGCAACCCAAGTAAAGTGGGAATTGGGGTCGGTTTCGTGAGTCACATTGCCCATAAGTCAGAAGCCCACCAGTTCGTCTGAGGATGCAGAGTTTTGCTGGAAACTGGAAACTAAAATATATTCCGCTCACAGGGCTTCCAGAGAACCTAGAGGCAATGAATAATAACGACAGCAGGTCCCAAAATAAACACAACAGCAGGACTCCTCGGGCCCATTTCCCTTCAAGTCTCCAGTATAAGGGAAGGACACACGATTCTGTGGTGACTAAATAATGTGGTCCAAGCTTCGTGAGAGCGACTTGGTTGGGGGCTAAGTCTCAGCTGGAAGAATGGCTGGAATGCATGGCCTTTAAATAACCCCCTTGAACTTTATTTCTCTCAACTGAGCTTTTGATAAAACTCAGGCAGCAGGAGGCAGTTGGAGGTTGTAACCGCTGACAAGGGCCTGGCAGGCAGCACCGGGCTGGGTGAGGGTGGAGCTGTGGGTCCCTGGCACCTGCAGAGGCATCATTCATGAATTCAGCTTGTCACAGGCTCCCCTAAAGGCTCAGAACAAGCAGGGCTTTAGTCTTTTGCTCTGGACTGGGCTGGATGGCTGGTGAGAGTGGGAGAGCGGAGAGGCCCTCGCTTCCGTTGATCACGCAGGGCGGTAATAGCTCTCATTTATTTCAGGCCCAGGGATTACATCACTACCTCACTTAATCTTCACAACCAAGCTATGAGGTAGATAGCATGACTGTCCTCATTTTACAGATGAATAACCCGAGACTCAGAGGACTTGCCTGCAGGTAACACAGCTAGGGAGAGCAGAGGCGACGAAGCCCGCTCCAATCTGTCCGATTCCACCGTTCACACATGTCTGACCACGGCATTGGGAGACCTTGCTGCACAGAGAGATAAAACCTGTGGGAAAAGTGAAAAGGCAGTTAATCTGCAGCATGAGAGCACAGGAAACACATAACTCTCAAGAAAACACAACTCAGGAGAAAGCCGGAAGCCCGTACCGACGTTTTGAGTGTAAGACTTGGGGGGGGTCTTATGGCAGGTCTGTGGACGAAGCCCTCTCAGACACTGAGAGCCTGCTGGGCAGAAAACATCAGCTGCATCTAAGCTTCTGTAAAAGTCAGGGGGCAAAGAGTCTCACATGAAAGGGTCCAGCTTAAACAAAAGCTGCAGGGCAGCAGGTGGAGGGCACCCCAAGCCCAAGATGCTCCCCAGAAGATACTGAGGGTCTCTCCTGATGTCAAAAAAAGCAGTGCAGAGCCCACCAGTCTCCACCTGAGTACAGGGCCGAGCTGATTTGGGCACAGCCGTAAGTGCATCCTGTCACTTCCCCAGGGAGCCAGCGGGCAGGCATAACATGGACAAAACAGAACCTGTGAACTCACCTACAGCTGTGCTCCTGAGCACTTCACAGCAGGTCCAGGAGTCCCTGTGACTCTCACAGCTCAGAACATGAAAGTCCCATTTCCTTTGATTGGATACACAAAGACGTTCTCTTTGGAAGGGGGACAGGGGTGTCTAGACCACACGAATCTTTTCTCATCATAAGCAATGTGCTGGCAAGCAGGACCCAGGCTCAGCCCCATGAAATCTGAGGACTCAGGACACAGACAGGTTTAACCAGGCACTGGAGACAAGCTGTCCCTGAGTCAGCTGTGCAGGAGAGGAGGGAATCAGGCCCAGACCCTGCCCTCATGGGGCTGACAGTCTATAAAAGGCCAGTGAGGTGGAAACACCTCCATGTGTTTACAGTTCCCTTCCTGAAAACCAGGAAAGGAAGGAAGAGAAGGAAGTTTCCTGTTGGCTTTCAGGGCTCACCCAGAAGTGGCTCTCCATTAGCCAGTGCACTGGGATCAAGCTAGGCTCTTCAACCTGCTGACCCCAAGGCTGGTCCTCTCCCTTCCTAGAGAGATCCCAAGGAAGAGCTTGGATAGCCCTTCCTACCCCTTCTCCTCCCTCCTGACCAAGAGGCATAGTGTCAGACGGACCCCAGGAGCCTAACCCAGAGTAGTCTGTGTTCCTGCCCAGTTGGATGCATCTCTCTTTACCAGAATACGATATTTGGGGTGTGTAAATCAGCTGTGACCTGTTCTAGCGGGGCCAAGTAGCTAGTCACCCAAACTTACCTTCTCCTCTTCTTGGGGCACCCACCCAAGCTACAAGTGCAGCTTCTCTGGCCCCAAGGGTGGCCAGTCCGGCATAAGCAGAAGTCATGTCTCATTCTCTTCTCTTCCCCTGTCTGCCATGACCTCAGGGCCTACAGGTAGCAAAGCCACGGGATGGAAGGAGCCTGGGTGCCTAAGTGCTCAGAGGAAGGTTCACAGACTGGACCTTCATGTGAATGAAAAATAAACTTCATGAGCACCCCAAATGTGAGAACGAAAGGAACCTGGTGTTATTTTGTTTTGTTCTTGTCTTTTTTTTTTTTCTCCACAGAGTCTCACTATGTCACCCTCGGTAGACTACCATGGCGTCACAGCTCACAGCAACCTCAGACTCTTGGGCTCAAGTGATTTTCTTGCCTCAGCCTCCCAAGTAGCTGGGACTCCAGGTGCCCGCCACAACACCTGGCTATTTTTTGGTTGTAGTTGTCATTGTTTCTTGGCAGGCCCGGACTGGGTTTGAACCCACCAGCTCTGGTGTATGTGGCTGGTACCCTAGCCACTGAACTACAGGCGCCGAGCCTGGAACTTGGTGTTTAATTTCATCCCCCTCCCCACTCTAACTCTGCTCTGTCCTCTAATTGAATTTCCTACCTGAACTATATCTCCTCCTTCCAACCATACCAGGCCTCCAGTGATGGCTGACCAGCTCATAAGTAAATAATTTCTGCTCCTGGGATCTATGAGCTGATTTTAAAGGCAGCCTGGCAGAGAGGGAAGGCTTCCCACTACCTTCCTGCAGGTCTGGATCCAGCAGTGTGAGGCTTTGGGCAAGACTCCAATCTTACAGAGACTCCACTTCCTCATTCTTTAAGTTAGAACAATAGCATCTGCCCATGCCACCTCACAGAGAAAAAGACTGAAAGCCTTGATATGCAGGGGCAACTACTCCAAGCTGGACCCTCTACAAATATCACTTCACTGATACTATCTATCTCAGATGGGGAAACTGAAGCATACAGAGGCTTAAAAGTAACTTCCAAGTTCAGCCATTTAGTAAGTAGCTACTGCCCCCAGCCCTGACTTGTCCTCCCCATTCTCCCTCCCTAACCAGACGGCACCACCAACCACCTGGATGCCCATGCCAGAAACCTCAGGTCACCCCTGCTCCTCCCTCCCGGTCACCTCCCACAGACTGTTGAGTGTCAAAGCCCAGTCATTTTGCCTTGATATGTAAATCACTCTCCAAGCTTGCCCTTCCCTCCCTCTCTGTTGCCTCTACCCTGATCCAAGCCCCCTGCGTGCCTCACCTGCCTCCTCACCAGACTCCATACAACTCTCCTTCTCTCCACATGCTTACCACTCAGCAGCCAGGGGCACCTTTTGGAACTGCAAATCTGACCATGCCCACTCCTAGGGTAAGAGGCTCAATGGCTTTCCATTGCTTTGTAACAAAGCCTTACCATGGTCTGTCCAGCCTGTTCTTGAACCATCCACTCTGCTACTTCTCCCCCTTTCAGTCCCTGAATACCCACCAGCTCCCTCCTTGGTGAAAGCATTCTTTGCACATGCTGTTCCCTCTGCATGGAACACAATTCCTCCCCCTCTTCACCTAGCTTACTCTTAATTACCTTCCTATGTCAGATCTGGTGTCATTTCTTCAAAAACCTTTCCCTGACATCCTTGACTAGATGACATCCTCTATAGCACTTGTCCCTGTTAATAGCTCATTCTACTGAGTGACTATTTAATGAATGTTCATCTCCATTACATGATTTTAAGCTCCTCAAGGATAGCAACCACATCTTTGTTGCTCACCATTGAAACCCAGTGTCTGACGCAGTGTCCAACACATAGTAGAACTAAAATACTGGCTAAATGAATAAATCAGTGAAAGCCAGAATTAAAATCTAAGTCTTCATGACTCCTCACTTACAAATTGCTGTGGGGGGGGGGGGGATAAATTGATTTAAAAAAAAGAAAAACAAATTATTGTGGAGAATTGTATTAGTCTTCTTAGGTTGCCATAACAAAAATACCATGGATTGGGTGGCTTAAACAACAGGAATTTACTTTCTCACAGTTCTGGAGGCTGGAGGTCCAAGATTGAGAAGCCAGCAAGGTTGGTTTCTAATAAGGAGTCTCTCCTTGAATTGCAGATTCACCTCCTTGTGTTGCCACATGGCCTTTTCTCTGCGTGCATGCATGCGGAGAGAGATCTACGGTGTCTCTTCCTCATCTAGAGGGACTCTAGTTTTATTAGATTAGGAGCCTGCCTTATGGATTCATTTAACCTTAAAGGCCTTAATGCCAAATATAGTCACTTTGGGAGTTACAGCTTCAATATATGAATTGTGGGGTGGGGGCCACATTTCTGTCTGTAACATTCAGCCCTCTGGCCCCCCAAAATGTACGTTCTTCTCACATGTAAAATCCATTCACTCCATTCCAACAGCCCCAGGGATCTTAACCTAATCTGGCATCAATTCCAAGTCCGAAGTCTAACTAAATGACATCTAAACCAGATGTAGGTGAGACTTGAGCTATGATTCATCCTGAGACAAAATTCCTTCCTAGCTGTGACCCTATAAAACCAGACAAGTTATGTGCTTCCAGAATATGATGGTGAGACAGGAACAGGATAGACATTCTCATTCCAAAAGGGAGAAATTGGAAGGAAGAAAGGGGCAATGGACCCAAACAAGCCCCAAACCTAGCAAGGCAAACTCCATTAGAATTTAAGGCTCAAGAATAATTTAAGGCTCATACCTCTTTGGTGTGATGCTCTGCCCAGCAGGGCAGCAGCATCACTCCCACCACCCTCAGTGGACCCACCCGAAGCTCTGCTGGTCAGCCTTACCCCTGAGGCACTGGGCAGAAGCATTCTGCCCACTGGGACCAAGGAGGTGGCCCCAGCCTCTGAAAACAGGAGGAAATAACCATCTCACCTGGGCTTTTGATGGCTACGGCAGCCTTCATAGTCTCTGATCAGTCTTAAGGGGTCAACTTTCCCTTTTCTTGAGGGATAACAGATGTTCAAACCCAGCTAGCTCTGTTATCCTGCCCTATAGAATTCCAGAAGTCCAACAGCCTTCCTTCACGCCACCCCATTTTTTTCTCTGCACCCTTTAGGCCCGGCTGTAAGTGTTCCTTCTGGAATTCTATACTGGGCTTCAACTGAGATGGCTGATTCAGTTTGTGAGTATTCTCTTTGTTCTCTTCATGGGTTGAAAGTCCAGCCACACTATGGCGTTTTCACCAAGCACAAAAACATATTTTGTTTTTATTTTTTTACAATATAGATAAGCTAACAATTTTCAAAATCCTTAAGTTCTGTTTAGTTTTTGCTTAACAATGACTTCAATATATCTCTCTCCTACCATAAGCAAAATGGAGAAACCAGGCCACATTTGCAACACTTTGCTTAGAAATCTACTCTCCTAAATACCCAAGGTCATCACTCCCATGTTCTACCTTCCACAAAACACTGGAACACAATTCAGCCAAGTTCTTTGCCACTTTATAACAAGGATAGCCTTTCCTCCAGTTTCTAGTATGTTCCTCGTTTCTGTCTGGGACTTCACCACAAGCACCTTCAACGTTCATATTTCTACCAACTTTCTGTTCATGATGATATATGTATTCTCTTAGGAGGTAGAAACTTTCTCTTCAGCTCTCCTCTTTTCTTTCTGAGCCTTCACTAGACTTGCCTTTAATGCCTATATTTCTACGAACAGTCTTCAAGGTAACCTAGGCTTCTTGCAGCGTACACCACAAAACTCTTCCAGTCTCTGTCCATTACCCTATTCCAAAGCCACTTTCACATTCTTAGGTACCTGCTACAGTGGCTTCCCACTGTCAGTACCAAAATCTGGATTAGGGTTCTCCAGAGAAACAGAACTTATAGGAGATGTATATGCACACACAATCCCAAACTTATGATGGTTCAGTTTGTGATTTTTGACCTTATGTTGGTGCAAAACAACACATTTAATAGACATCATACTTCAAGTTTTGAATTTTGATCTTTTCCTGGGCAGTTCAATAATCTTGTCCTGATGCTGGACAGTTTGTGATTTTTGACCTTATGTTGGTGCAAAACAACACATTTAATAGACATCATACTTCAAGTTTTGAATTTTGATCTTTTCCTGGGCAGTTCAATAATCTTGTCCTGATGCTGGACAACAGCAACGAGCTGAAGCTCCCCGTCAGCCACACAATCATGAGGACAACAGCTGATATTCTATAGCGCACTGTGTTGTCAAATGGTTTTGCCTAACTCTGGTCTAACGCAAGGGTTAAAGCACTTTTAAGGTAGGGGAGGCTAAGCTGTAATGTTTGGTAAGCTAGGTGTACCAAATGC